TAATTACACTTCAATTATAAATTTTAAACAATTTAATTAGCTACCTATTAACTTAAAATTGTTGTAACTATTTGCTTACAGTACTTCAAGAACGTCTATTGCGTTCGTTATACGACTGCACATGTAGAAGAGGTCCTTGAAGAGGTGGCCCAATGTGTTTTCAATATGTGGGTAGCAACAGTAGTTAGGCCGGTACAATAGTTAGTTACATTTATATACACATTTTTGGGCCAATTTTTATGGGATAGGCCACTTAATTTTGAAATATTAGTTTGCAAATAAGTTTAGATTTTAAGGTTAAATGTATAGGAATTTTTATGTTAATTAGATAGGAGATACTATTACAAACATTCATTATATTGTATTATTTTCGTTGCTGGCTGGCTGTTTTTTATCTTTATCTGTATCTTTATGCAGGGGGCTGCTTTAAAAGCAGCTACCATATAAAAAAAATTATATCATTAATACTTGACGGTTATTTCAAAATAACCGTCAAGTATCAATATAGTTGACGCTTGTTTCAAAACAAGCGTCAAGTATTTGTAAATACTTGACGGTTATAAGGAAACAAGCGTCAAGCATTTATGGCCAAAAGAACATTGGCCATAAATACTTGACACTTGTTTCAAAACAAGCGTCAAGTGCTGGGAAGTGCATATTTACTTCATATACTTGATGGTTGTTTTCAAATAACCGTCAAGTATAAGATTAATACTTGACGGTTTTTAACCGTCAAGTATTATTTCTTTAATATATGTCGCACCCTTATTTGACGGTTAAAAACTGTCAAGTATTGAAAAAATAAGCATCAAGTATGGGTATTTTCTGTGGTAGTGCATGCATATATAAACACCTCGTGCATGTAACAAATTGCATTTAAGAGTAAGATTGAGTTATGATTTTTTGCATTTAAAAGTAGTATTTTTGTTGGAAAGATTGAGTAATTTTAAGAACATCAATTAATTTTAATCAGTTATGTTGGTTTGCGTGAATTATTGTAGTTAAAGATGACTTTGAATAAGAATAGAGGGACTATTGTTTACCTTACAAAAAAAAAAAAAAACAGAATAGAGGCAATATTAAATAACATTCATCTTTTCTGGATTTAAAGATAGGATTTGGATTTAGTGAGTGACATAAAGTTACTCATTCAGTAAGTATTTCAATTATAATTATGAATTTTATTTTAAAAATTATCAAAATATATTTTTGTTTGAAAATTCAAAACAACCTTTATGATCAAAATACTTCTCACATATGTTCTCTCAAAAATTTGAAATTTGGGTACTTGCTGAGTACCATATGATAAAAACCTTCAACAATTATTTTCTATTAAATAGAATGGTTGTTACTATGGCAAACGGTATACCCATTGAATAAGTAAATTTGTGTCTCGGTTTATATGGTTTGAATGAACCAACATTAAATTTTGAAAGATCAGCTAATCAATCATATCTTGTGGCACTAAAAATAATATTTTATGTTGGATTTTTTATTGCTTTTGCTGTCAAATCACCGATCATACCCTCACATTCATGGTTACCATATTGAATTCTAGAAAGACGAGGTCGGCCGGGGAAAAAAAATAGAAAAAGAAAGTACAAAACAAGTGGAACGAAATCCTCAAATTTGGACGTTTGCCATTAGATATGCTAAAAAAGCGGCCTTGGGAAGATTGGCGTTTAGAATATGATGGTTAGTTCCTGCACCTTCCTAACGTGTATCTCAATCTATCCATATTTTAGTTATATGAATTTGTTACTTTATACTTTTTATTATTTAGCGCTTCAAAAATTAAATTGATCGTTGACTTGGTTAAAATATTGACTGAAGATTTATCCACCGAACTGTAGTTGAATGATGGTCCAAATAATAGTAATTTATTAAATGGAAATATTTAAAATTTATAAAATATGTGTAAAAATATCCATGAATTATATCATATAAAAAAAATATTGAATTGCAAGGGCTTTTTTTATAGTGCACACGTCATTTGTTAAGAGGTAATTCTATTCAAGTTACAAATCACTTTGTCAATAATAAAAATTTCATTAAATTATAGTGAAGTAAAAAGTGATTAGCCAACAAAAGTAGAAAGAATGTAGAATTCCAAAGTTTGAATTGCAAGCTAGAACTCTTCAAGTCTGAGATAAGATATAAAATGAGTTTAGTTTGGATTCAGATCATATATATAGAACACAGCTTAAGAAATAAAATAATAAATAGATTAGCGTGTGGATTATCAGCTGAATAAAATGGACTATTCTAACAAACCAGAGTAATTAACAAGTACGGTGCAGTCTTATTATACGTAAATACAACGTACGGAAACTGATAAGAAGCTCGTCTTGCAACAAGCTGACTGCATAAACTTCAACAAACAACAAAAATGAGAAGCGACCAACATCAAACAATGCTCGTGCGAGCATGGTGTGGCCTCTGCGATTAGCCTTTACGAACCGAACTGCGAGTGGGTCTCCATCCTTCACAACCAAACGCTTGTTGTTCTGGTAATCAATGGAAACTGTCACCTTCCGACTCAACATCACAGCAAACAAGCTTGAGTAATCATCTCTGTATGGCTGGATTTGGAACGACCCAAATAGTCTCTCTTCCTTGTTATGCAATCTTCACCAATTGTAACTTTTCCTCAACCTTCCAGTGTAACCTAGATTGTTGGTGGTGGCAAGGGGATGGATTTTTGGATTGAAATTCAACGTTGAGATAAAAGCCTGGTTTGAAAATAGCAATTCGATATGGGGTCCTGATTCTTGCCGATCGGCCTCTAGAAGTCTCCGACGGAGCTTGGACGACGGTGGGAGGGCAGGTTTAGCTTCCAGTTCTGGCAAGCTCTAGCCCTCCACCTTTGCCTCTGAAAGCTGGAAATATGTAGTCTGAGCCACTGTTTATTAATATGTCGCCATCTGCGTCAAACAACTCTGGCAAGATTACTTGTGGGCAAGGCGAAGAGGAAGAGAAAGAAGATGAGGGAGGGTATGCAGGGGCAAAAAAGTCTTGATTTTGGCTTGTAGTTATTAGATGCTGTGTGCTTCTATTATATACAAATTTGTATCTATAGATATAGTTGGAAATATAGGTGGACCTTATGGGCTCGGCCCATAACAGTCTAAATCTTTAAGCCTGATTATTCATTTTTAACCCTTTTTTTGAAGTTCGGCTCTTATGTAAAGGGCTTAGAGCCTAGCCCGAGATCCTTGTTAAAAAAAATTAAAAAAATTTAAATAAAATTAAATATTATAAATTAATTAAAATTTTTTAAATTAAAAAATTAAAATCCACACAATATTTTAAAAATTAAATAATATTTTAAAAATCTAAACAACACACATTCATCAATCAAAATCCAAATCTTCTTTATCCTCATCATCTATAAATAAAATATTAAATCCCTCGAATGTAAGTGTATTTATTGAAGATGGAGGTGGAAATTCAATACCAATTACCTTTACAATTTCTTCTTGATCACCTACAATAAATATTAACCAAATTGTATCATTATCAATCAAATATATGTGTGTATGTGTGTGTATATATATATATATAAAATAATTAGGCTTATTAGGGTTTGAAGAGCCGTCCGGGCTCGAGCCCTTTTTTATAGGGCTTATCAGGATCAAGCCCTCAAGCCCAGTTACTTTGAAAAAAATAATTTTCAAAGCTCGAACTCTTATTTAAACAGGGTTTACAAGCCCAATCCTCCAAACCCGACCCTTATTCTCAGCTTTATTTATAGATGCATGCATCTCTACGGACGTTGCATCGTCATGTGATGGTCTTTTGTTTCTGCTTTATCTTTCATGTGATTCCTTGGTGCCCACAAGCACGAATCATGTTGCTGTCACAATGAGAAACATCTTGTTACATGCATTAAAGACACCTTTTTCATGCCTTGCCATAGAGGCTTGGATTCAAGGCTGGACCATGCATATGACAAGTGGCAGCATTTTTATTTTCGTTTGTTTTGAGCTTAATTATTCTCTAATTAACTTGACAAAAGACGTCCACAACAATAATCTTTTCACATAGGCCATAATATGGGAGTAGGATTCTCTCCCTCCCATATTATTTTTGATCAGTGACAGAGCCACATTAGTTTGAGAGGGTGCATTTTTAGGAAAAAAAATTCAAGTGGGGTATATAATTTTGCAACTTTGCATTCCTTACTTTTAATATTTTGTACTCTCTAAACTAAATAAAAAATATTTGAGTTCAAAAATTTATTAGATATAGAATATTTTAATGATCTAAATAAAATATGAATAACATATTTACAATAAAAGACTAAATCAACTTGTTCAATATAATTTTTTAAAATAAAAAATGATAATTAATTTATTTACATATGTTATTACAAATTTAGTCATAGCATGAATATTATTTTTTAAAAATATTAATGTTTATTAAATTATTCTACACCCCTTGGGCCCTGGCTCCGTCGCTGCACTTCTTCGTCTTCACTCTTCAGTGTGCCTGACTCTGTTATGATGCATGAGCCACACTTGCATCTTACATGCCGCTTCTTATTTCTAAAGCCTACAATTTATGTGCATGTGACCTCAAAGGATAAATGACATTTAGGGACCTTTAAAGGACATTAATTACAATGTAAACCATGAATTTATGAAAATTAAAAAGAAAAGGATAATAAAACTTTTAATTCTTTAACTTTGTTTTAATTATTGATTTAGAATTTCGAGTTTACATCAATGGAGTTATTTAAATGTGTCTTAGTTATCAATTGGATAGCGATAAATCTTACTAGCTAGTTTGCTGGGGGGAAAAAAAAGAATGACAGAATATTAAGCTGGATGGCAGTAAATTTATAAAAAGACATATAATTATTTATAAAATAAAAAAAATGAAAACGTGCTTGAAAATTTTAAAAAACAAAACGTAACGTACAATGTAGAAGTAATCCACAAGCTACTAACTAACTGTCAAACTTGATTTACACGGCCACCAGCCAATTCAATGACGAAGAATAATATAGGTTTTACCAGGGATGACATGATATTCTCTTTTTGTAATAATGAAGATCTAAAATGAGTTCATTTTCGATTCAGATTACTTGTAGTTATAACAAGTACTAGAGTGCTGTTTTATTATACGTAGCTACGTACGAAGCTCGTCTCACAACAACATGACTGCATAAACTTTTACGAAAAACACAAAAAGCACAAGTGATGAACATCAAACAATGCTCATTCGAGCATAGTCGCCTCTTTGATTAGCCTTCACGAATCGAACAGCGAGTGGGTCTCCGTGCTTCACAGCCAAACGCCTGTTGTTCTGGTCGTCAATGGAAATCCCCAGATCTTTACAATCATCACTGTTACCTTCCAAATCATCATCATCACAGTAAACAAGCTTGTAGTCATCTTTGTAAGGTTGGATTTTAAACTGCCCAACTAGTCTCTGCTCTTTGTCTGATGCAATCTTCACCACTTGTGATTTTCTCTCGACCTTCCATCGTAACCTTGATTGTTGGTAGCAAGGGGGTAGATATCTTGGTTCAAATTCAATGTTGAGGGGAAATCGTGGTGAGAGAAAAGCAATTCGTGGTGGGGTCCAGATCGTCGCCGGCAGGCCTCTCGAGGTCTCAGAGCGAGCTTGGACGACGGTGAGAGGGCAGGTTTCGTCTACGGTTTTGGCGAGTTCAAGGCCACCACCATTTCCACTGTATGCTGGAAGTAGATAGTATGAGCCTCCATTTCTTAACATTTCGCCATCAGCGTCAAGCAATTGATCTCTGGCAAGATTGCTTGTGGGCAAGGCCAAGAGAAAGAGGCTGAAGACGAGGGCATGCAGAGGCAACACACTCTTCATTTTGGCTTGCAATTAGATGCTGTGTGCTTCTGTATACAACAAGGTTGTATTTATAGATTCATTTTTACTTTCTATCGTGCGATGGTTTTATTTTTTCGTGCATATATTTATAAGAGTCAATTAGGGCCGGTCCTTCAAGGACCAGGACCTAAACAAGTTGCCCTTTTTAAGCTCGATTACATCTCAGAGCTCTATTTTTAGCAGTTCGACCCTGGCCTTCAGGGCTTCGGTCCTATTTATTTTTTTAATTTTTCAATTTAAGAATTTAAAAAAATATTTAAAATTCTTACAAAGTTATTTCACATCACATTAAGTCTAAAAAAGTAAATAAAATTAATTCACACAACAAAAATTTTAAGTCTGATAAAAAAATAACATCCCAAAATCAATTTCGACATCAATTATACGTTGGTAGCATCATTAGCTAAATCTTAATAATTTCATCATCATTAATATCAATATGATTTGATCATTCTCCCTGTGTATCGTCATCAATGGTAAATATGTTAAGCTTTTCATATCTTCCTTTTTCATTCTCATTATTTGCAATAAATAATAAACCAAAATCATAATTTCAAGTTATTTAAAGAATGTAAAAATATTCAAAGTAAGCAAATAATAATGTGCGTGTCTATTATCTGGATTAGAGAGTGAGTGTTGAGTCTGAGTGATGTGGTGTCTTCTTTTATATATATATATATATATATATATTTCTATTGTTGTTTTTTAAAATGTATTAGGACTTAAAAGGGCTGGCCCTTTTATTTTCAGGCTTAAAAGGGCCCTTTTAAGCTCAATTTATCTTTTTAAAGATCAAAGTAGCAACCTGACCCTTAATTTTTTCAGGCTTAGGGCTAGTCCCAATTGACGGCTCTACATATATTCAGGGGTGGAGGGACGGAAGTTTTAATTCCCTTCCCCCCCTGCTATTAGATGTTATATGCCTGACTTGCCACAAATTTATAAAAATTTTGTAAAATAGTGTAATATACTTCTCAAATTATAATATAAATCATTGTTAATTAATTTACTTTTCTAACAAAAAATAGTTAAAATTTTGATTTTCCAATTTTTTTACATCTTTCTATTCATATATTTGAGTGGAATAAATATAACATTTGATTTAATCAAAACACTCTCATTAATTACTTGAGTAAAGTTACAATATAATAAAATAAGAGTAAATTAAAAAAATACATAAAACTTAGTCAATACCATGTATTTTGGATTAAGTAGGGCTTTTAGGAAACATCCTATATTATACTTCCTTTAGACCAAAATATAGGACATTAGTAATTAATTCACAATCCTTAAAAAATATTAGTCAAAACTTTAATTTTTAAAATGTTTTTATATCTTTTTAATAAATGCTTATTAAATACTCTATATAAAGATATTGATAATAGTAATTAAAATTTTCATACATTATTTTTTTCAAAATAAATAATAAATAAAATAGAGATATAGTTAAAAAAATAATTATAAAAATTATTCAATATGTTATATTTCAAATCAAGTAAAAGTTTTAAAAAATAGTTGGATGGGAGTATACTTGACCCCCTCATAGATAAATCCTGCCTCGGTCGCATATGCGATTCATTATATGCCCACAAATGTTGTGCTGTCTGAATGAGAAACATCTCATTTCATGCATTTAGACACCTTTTATGTATTGCCAGGGGTTTCGAGGATGGACCATGCATATGACACGTGGAAGTCTTTTTTATTTTCTTTTTTTGTGTGCTTATTTTCTAACACTGGCCATTGACGGAGCCTTGCTCTAGATTAATGTGCCTGATTGTGTGTTATAATGCATGCGCCACACTTTGCATCTTACATGCGGCTTATTTTTCCTTACAACACCACGTATACTATAACTAAAAATTTGTGTGGAACCTCAAAGGGTAAATGACATTTAAAGACCTTTAAATAATATTAATTTCAATGTTGGGCCATGAATTTATGAAATCTTAAAAGAAAGGGTAACGAAACTTTTAATTTTTTTTAAATTTGTTTTAATTATTAATTTGATCACTTGAGTTTAATTTATTGATGGAATCCTTTAAGTTTATTTTAGTTATTGGTTTTGGTTCTTATTGTTCTAAAGATGAGATTATAACACTGATAAAACGTGCTAATATAACACCTTTAACACCGTTAATTGTGATTAATATTTTTAAATGATTCTTAACAATTATTTGCTCACCAATATTCTCATTGGCATGAGATAATTAATAGTTTAATTAAGAACATTAAGAAATATTAAAATAGTCAACATTTTTACTTAATATTAATTGAGACTAAATTAATAGCTCATTTATAACATTTTTTAAGTCCATGTGATCCATGGTACTATCAAGTGTAAAACTTATCTCAGCTGTCAGCCTTCTCAATTTTATTATTTTCCTTTTTTCGATTTGACAATAGACAATCAAAACTATATATCTAATCCATCTTCAATCGTAGTTTAAATGAGATACTTAATATTGATTATACGTTATCATCACGAATTAATTTATGGTAATTTTTTTCCATTTTTGGTTATTCAGCAACTCGAAAGACATACTCTCCAAATTACAAGATTGCCTTTTTACTTTGTTTTACTGTAAATTCTCTAAATTCTGCATCCTGAACAGTCCCTAATAATAATGACTTATTTTTTGAAATATAATAGCCATGGCTAGATCATGCGAAGCAAAAAAAAAAAAAGGTTTATGGCAAGTGGTTGCTGGTTACACCAATTTTTTAAAAGGAAAATTTCTGCGTCTTATGGTAAGAAGGGGTGTATATATATATATATATATAGAATCGTGAATAAGCTAGTGAAAATAACCTAATTGACGATCCAATCACTCAGAATAAGAGCTTGAACCTCTCTAATTGAATGGATAAATGAATGATTAATTTAGTGTTCCGTTGCATGTCTTAAGACTTTGGAATAAGGACTGCTATCTCTCTCTGAAATTCTAGTTCCATCTGAGCCCTAATACTTTTAGAATTCCCATAATTCCCATATAATATATAGATGTGCAAGGGGTGTAATTGCATGATTTTTTTTTTTGGGAAGTATGTGATCGAATTACCATTTTTGTCTTGAAGTATGGCCATGCAAGTAACTATATCTCTTCGATCATCAGAGATATCTACATCAAATGACCCATTCTTCTTGTGGAGGAGCCCATTTAGTACAAGTGTATCTGTAGATTGTTGGATTTATCATGTTCTTTAATGTTTGAAGCTTTGTATCTTCAATAACTCTTCGGGTAATTTTTTTGTCTTAAACTTAATTAGAGTAATACATTTTTTTTTTTGAAAATTTATCCTTACTTGTTATCATTTGAATTTCTAGATAACAATTATTTATGTTTATTATAATTGCAAAATAAGGGAAAAATTTATAAGTTACATTTTTTTAACAACGTTAAAGATATAACTACTATTTTTAATAAACATGAAGTTGATTAATTAAGTATCTCATATTAAGGATACGAGAGAGTAAATATATTAGCGTGTGATCATCAATTGAATAAAATTGATTCCCTCCTGATTCTGCTTATAAGTTGCATTCTAGAAAGAGTTTTTTATCCTTTTTATGAATCACTTGGCATAAAAAGCTGGATCATTAAGTACTTTCTTCCCATTCTACCCTTCCACAACTTTTAACAAGCACAGAGTAATATGCTCTATATTATTGAGAGAGAAAATATTTTTAAAAATGATACATTTAATAAGAATAAAATGAAAATTTTGTTTTGTACTTTAAGCATCATCAATAATTTAATTACCTCCATGATTTTAATGTGATAATACGAAGTGACTTATAAATGAATTTGAATTTGATAAATGTATTTGATATAAGCATTGAATGGTTGTACTATTTGAACTGTTAAAGTCTAGATCAATGGTTATGAATTTATACTCCACTTGATATTAATGAATAAATAAGTTTATTTGAACCGTTGATCTGATTTTAACAGTTTAGATAGGCATTCAATGTTTTCATTAAGTACAGTCACCAAATCTAAATCAATTATAAACTGAATCCAAGGGAATATTTGTTTACTAACCAAGTAGAGTGCAGTCTTATTATTAAACTTAGCTATGGCGGAGACAGACTAGGAAGCTCCTCTTACAACATGATGACTGCATGAACTTTAACAAACAACGATGATCAAATTAATCAAACAATGCTGAATCGAGCAGAGTCACCTCCGCGATCAGCATTCACGAACCGAACTATGAGTGGATCTCCATCTTTCACAACCAAACGCCTATTGCTGTCGCCGTCAGTGGAGATTCCAAGATCTTTACAGTCACGTTCTCGCGAGTAGTAATATTTACGTTCACAGTAAACAAGCTTGTAGTCAAGGGGACGGCAGCTAACATCTTTGTATGGCTGGATTTGAAACGACCCGAATACTCTCTCTTCTTGGTTTGATGCAATCTTCACCACTTGTGATTTTTCCTCAACCTTCCATTGTAAACTAGATCCTTGTTGGTAGCAAGGGGATGGATTTTGTGGTTCAAATTCAATCTTGAGGTCAAATCCTGGTATGAGAATAGCAATTCGAGGAGGGGTCCAGATTGTCGCCGGCAGGCCTTTAGAAGTCTCCGACAGAGCCTGGACGACGGTGAGAGGGCAGGTTTCGGTTCCAGTTTTGGAAAGCTCTAGCCCTCCACATTATAGTATGAGCCTCCATTTCTTAATTCGTTGCCATCCGTGTCAAGCAATAATCTGTCTGCAAGATTACTTGTGGGCAAGGCAAAGAGGAAGATGCAGAAGATGAGGCAATGCAGAGGCAACACATTCTTCATTTTGGCTTGCAATTGGATGCTGTGTGCTTCTATGCATAAGGTGGTTGTACTTATAGATGCATTTTTACGTTGCATCTTGTGATGGTCTTTTGTTTCTTTCATTTATTCATATGTCGCTTTTACATACATGTACGATTCCTTACGCATGCCCACAATGCATGTTCTGTCTAAATGAGAAACATCTCATTTCA